GTAGAAACTCAAAAGGACTACCTGCCCTGTTTTACTGATAGTTCAAGGAAAGGCTCAACTAGCTTAACGGGCACAATAGTCTATATAGAGTACCTAAATATAGAATTAAGTATACCACTACGTAAACATGCTGCAGTATTTCAAGCAGTGTTTGCTATACTTTCTGTAGCCACCTGTTTAGAAGTTACTAATTGCGAGAATGCTATGGCATTTTTAAGAATGAAGGATAATAGACAGTGGCAATTAACAGGGACACATACCGGCCACTTAGAAATAGCCAAGAAGGTGGAAAAAGAGCTACCTATCTTATGTTACCTCTCTCTGCCGCTTGTTAAAAACCTTACTTTAGACAGGAAGGTTAGCTACCTTTACCCTAACATAATAGACTGGGAGTTCAGTAGAAACTCAAAAGGACTACCTGCCCTGTTTTACTGATAGTTCAAGGAAAGGCTCAACTAGCTTAACGGGCACAATAGTCTATATAGAGTACCTAAATATAGAATTAAGTATACCACTACGTAAACATGCTGCAGTATTTCAAGCAGTGTTTGCTATACTTTCTGTAACCACCTGTTTAGAAGTTACTAATTGCGAGAATGCTGGCATCTCTATCTACTTGGATAGTCAGTCACCACTACAAGCATTGGAGTCTCCCAAAGTGACCTCCACACTGGTGCAGGAGTGTAAACAGACTTTGGAGACACTGGCCCACTCCAAGAGGGTGGAACTAGTGTGGGTCCCTGGTCAAGAGGGAATCAAAGGCAATGAAAAAGCCGATGCCCTTGCAAGGAATGGAGCAGAATTTCCTATTGTAGGTCCGGAACCTTGGATATAGGAATATCCAAAAAGCATCAGAGGAAAGAAGTCCTTGATTGGATCTGGGAAAAAGCAGGTAAAGAATGGGGAGAATGCAATGGGCTTAGACAAGCGAAACAATTTATCAAAAGCCCCTCTCCCTCCAAAAGAAAATGGCTGTGGGGCCTAACTAGGAAAGAAATCCGACTCATCATTGGAGTACTAACAGGCCACTGCAAACTTACAAGACATTTAAAGATCTGTGAGATAGTGGATGATGAACTCTGCAATCTTTGCAGAAGTGGACCTAAAACTGCCCCCCACTACATAACAGAATGCGACCGATTTGCTTCACTCAGATACAGACTTCTGGGAGCAGACAGAATCCAAGTATGCAAAGCTACCTCCATAAAAGGGCTCAACCTTATGAACTTCATTAGAAGAACAAAAGGTTTTGAGACAGAGTAGAGGTACAATAGACAACCATTGGTTGTATCATCTTTGGGGTTGGCAAAAAGGACCAATAGGCCCACTTGCTGGACTAAGTCCCCTCACCAGTACCAGTACACCAATAGTAGAAAGGAAGTTAAAGGGATGGACTCTGACCACCACCCTTTTAGAGGTGATAAGGGAATAGTGGAGTATAAGGGACAACTATGCATACCACCATAAAAGAAAGAAATTATTTTATTAAGGTTTCGTAATGCAGTTCTATCCACTATAAAGTGATGTATGGCCACACATATTTTCATTTTTAATGGTTGGACAAGAGGGGGTACTTCAAAGGCTGATTCTATACTCTTAAAGACTGCCTGCCGTAATGATTAGGGGACTTAGAGGTCATCATATTAACAATAAGGCAGTAGTAATTTTCATACCAAAATAAGCAATTATGTTTTGAGATTAAAACTTTTCTTACTTTATCATTAATTTGTAAGCATAAAATATCAGTCTAAGGGTTTTTTAATTTCTAATATTTTCTAAGGGTTTTGATTTCCCATTTTTTTTTTTTTTTACTTAAATCCCTCTTAAGGGAATTGATCATCAACATATTAAGTGACTAACTAAATGTTCGTAATCCTAATATTTACATTTTCATAAAAATAGTTCAAGCAATTGTACTATTTCATTCTTTTAGAAATGTTAATTAATAATAACACTACTGTTAATGCAACAGGTCATATGTGAAAATTTAGTTGTTTTTTTACAAGTGAGTGTAAAAATTGATTTTTTCTTAATGATTTTTCAGTTTAATTCCATATTTTATTTTCCTCTGCTATTATCCATAGTAACAGACTACTTATAGCAGTTTCAGACTACAATAGATCACCTTTAGAACAAATAAAATAAGAATGAAACATTGCAATATAATTGTAATATTACCTTTTGCATTAACAGTAGCTATATAATAAGCTATTGCTTTAAATTGGAATTTTAGTAAATATAATCAAGGATTTCATGAAAAACACAACTTAGCATAGTTTAGCTGCTTGAAATTTCCCTTTAAATTGTCTTAAAAAAGAGAAAATACTTGGATTTGAAAGAAATTTTGTCAAGTTTACTATAAAGCAATTGTTAATTACCTAAATTAAATATTTCCCTATTTATCGCTTCCTAATCAACAAAACATGTGACTTATTTGTAAAAAACACATAACTTAAATTCCTAGTTTTTTTTTTTCAAGTAGACAATGGTTCATATACACTTTTTTGCAGCTTTTCTGAAAAGGTCTGCTAACACTCTTTAAATATTTACCCTTACTTATGGAACACTCTTTATCATGACAATATACACTAAAATATATCCATATTTTGATGATTAAACAATTTATATTATAGTTAATTAATTAGAAAGGGTAAAAAATAGTCAGGGTATGCAATCAATGGTGGTTATTGAGTTTTACGAAGTTTTGGTCTTAGCATATGGGTCATCAATCAGGGCATCATCATGAAAAAAATTTATTTATACTAAAATATTTTGGGTTTTCCCATAAATAATGAGAAATATTTAAAGAGGAGTTGGTGGACTTCAAGAGCAAAAAAAGTTCATATATACTATGGACATATTCCCCCAGCATAACAGGAAATTTATGTTTTGGTTTTTTTTAAAAATAAGCCACGTTTTTAGTATGGTAGAAAGTGACAACTAAGAGATAATTTAATTTAAGTAATTAATAATTGTATACAATAGTAAACAAGATAAAATCTTCTTTAATTTTTTAATCCATCCTAACACTGCTATCACCCCGATGACATATGTATCCTATCAGTTAATAACGTTCCATCAATTGCATCCCAAACTCTTCAATCACACATCACAAACCTTGAAGAATGGTGTCAAAACTGGAGGATTAAAATAAATTCCAATAAATCCCAACAAATCATCTTTACCCTTTGTCGTAAACCTATGACTTCCTGTCCTACAGTATCCTTTAATAACATCCCACTTATCCCTATTGAACAAATACGATATCTTGGACTCCACTTGGACAAACGTCTCACTTGGAATCCTCATACAAGACTGAAACGACAAGAAACTGCTAGACGTTTCCGCTTACTAGACAAACGCTCTAAACTTCCAATTAATTACAAAAGACTAATATACATGACTAAACTAAGACCTATTTGGACTTAAAGAGTTGAGCTATGGGGCTCCACTAAACCATCAAATTCCTCTCTTATCTAATTCTTACAATCCAAAATCCTTCATAAAATCCTCAATGCTCCTTACTTTGTCACAAATAAAATAATCCATAATGACCTTAATGTTCCATATGTTTCCGATTTGGCCCAATCCAGATACCTATCCTCCCATAATAAACTTCATAACCATCCAAATCCTCTCATTTCTAACCTTGCTTCCTCTTTGATTCCTGATAACCCTCCGAGGCATCTGAAAAGAAGATGGCCTCGTGATCTCCTGATATAGCCATATTATTAGAGTGCTACCTGTGGGTAGTTTCTCAACAAGCGTTTTCAAGTGATTATATTCTTGTGTACACATTTACTTATTGTATTTATATTGTAATACAGTTGTAAATATCTTGAATAAATAGTTTAAAAAAAATTTTTTTTTAATCATAAGTGGACTTCCTCCTCGTTAAAATGAAGCAACCATACAACACAATGTTCTGTTTTTCATAAAATCATGGATTATTCAAGATTTTTTATCAGCATCCTACAGATTTACATATTCTCCTGTTATAGAAAAAAATCCTTATTTAATAATTTTTAAGTTCATATTGAGTTGAGGTTTGTTACAGAATAAGCAAAAATTCACCTCCCAGTTTTGTATAAAAACAGTTTAGGGTAATAGATTATTACTTTCACTTAACATTAAAAAAAAAAAAAGATAAACTCACCTATTACTTGAATTATTTTTATAAAAATGTAAATATTAGCCTTATTATTAGAAGATGAGAACAAAAAGTTGCTCAACTTGCAAGCTGCACTATTATTTTAGGTCATAATTTTGGAATATTTAAATTTTGAAAAAGTATTTTTTTTTTCTGTCCTCAGAATGAAGTCAAAGTTAAACAATATGGGAGGAGGTAGTACCATACGGGAATGACAAGAGTCAATAAATGCGCAAACAAGGAGACGAGGAATATGCTTATTTTTGTATTTGGTGCACTACAAATGGTTCAATGAAATTATAATACAGAAATACATTTCAATAGATACATTTTTTTTTATGACTTGATAATGAGCTAATCAGATCGAAAAATAGTTGGAAGTAGAATAAAAAAAATTAAAGAATAAGGGCTTATACATTCCTTAAAGACACATAGAATATTGAGTGCTCTTAAAAAGTATTACTGTAGTAGCTAAATATACACCTTTATGATAATTTACTGTAATTATTTTTGCTGAAAACACTAGAACTCTGAGGAAACATAATTCTACATCACGTAATGTTTATATGAAATTGGAGGCAGTTGTCACCATAGCTAATTTAAATTTAAAATTTATTAAATAAAGTTTTTCTAAAACATTACCCAGTATTGAGTAATCCAGTATGAGACTAATAACAAAATAATTTTATTAAGGAAACGCAACATTGATTCATTTAGATACTTAAAAGCGTCATTCAAATGTTTTCAACAAAATCTGAAGTTAGATAAAGTTCAAAAATATTAAATAGTTAACTTTCACTAAAGGGGTAAAATCTCAATTTACAACAGGAAAATAGTAAAGTATACTAACATGAAGTGAACCTCTCCTTCAAAATTTTCAGGGGCAATCCAGTTAGCTTCAAGTACATCTCTCTTCACATTACTTGCATGAGTTAATCCAGAATTCTGCAACACAGATAATAATTCTAATAAAATTATTTAAATTCATAAATAATATTTTAAGAATGTTAAATATTTCAAAAATTCTTACATTTTGAATATTTATTTGGTCAAATAAAGAAATATGTCGAATACTTACTTATTTTTACTTTCACTTACCTATATACATATATATAAGGGCTGGGGTAGCCGTACGGGCTAAGGCACTTGCAATAGGTAATCAAAGTTAAGCCATGTCGAGCGTGGTTAGTACTTGGATGGGTGACTGCTTGATTTGGGTGACCGTCCACCAGGGAAAGCCATGCAGCCCGAATCTCTCCTCCCACCCGGGTATGTGAGGCCCGTCACCCTACTGGAGGCAACTCACACCGACCCTACTCTGTGTACTTAAATCCGAAATCGGGATGTGGTTTACCAGGATGTTAATAGCCCCCCTGAGGTTCGGTCCATGGACGGTCTGTTTCAGGGAAAGAAATATAAGTCTTCGTGCGCCTGCTGACTCCGAGCAGCCATAATCCATGGATCTAGACCGATTTGTCACTGTCCTTGAACCCGAGAAAGTCGGTGGTAAGGACATTGCCAGATTGGCCCCAAAGGGATCGGCTATGGAGCTATGAGTGGCCTGCCGCTGCACCATGGAAGCATGGTTCGTAGCAACGTGAGGTTGGGTGACCCCCTCCAGGCTATCTGAGCTCCCGCAAGTATCACACGTCTGTAAGATCACATCTCGCAGCCAAAGATCTTCATGGTCTGTAGTGCGGACAGGAAAAAAAAAAAAAAAAAAAAAGTATATACATATATATACCTATACATAGAAATATATATTAAGGGAAGTTATTGCAATCATGAACAATTTTGAATCCGAGTTTTCAACATAAATTCAAGGTCCCCTGAATCCAAATCCAATGGAGGTATGCCAAGACGTTCCTTACAATTTCATATTCCTTTCTTATCCCTTACTGCCTGAGATAAGAGTCCATTCCTTCCTGCTCCCTTCTCTAATGTGAGGACAGTTGGTGATGATAAAGGTACCTTCCTTAATCCCTAAATTCTCCTTAAGCTCACTACAATTTATATGTAACCGATATGAAATCTTATTATTGTGCTATTATTATATTTGATATTCTTGCATTTGCAAATTCAATGTCCTTGTGGCAGTGCTGTTGTGGCTGTCAGTGTGCTGTCCGGCTTGGGGTGTCGATGCTCAATGTAAACACTGAAGAGGATCTCATTATTTATATTAAAAAACAGAGTTTGAAACGTTTTGAATGAAAAGAAAAGAAGCTGTTTTAGTTTACTGAAGTGTAGGTCATGACCTATTATCTGACTATAATTGCAATCTTAAATTCCATTTATCTGCACGCAGCTATGTTGATTCTATATATCCATCTGCTTTTAGGCCTTCCACGTGGTTTTTTGCCTTCTATTGAGGCATTCATTGTTACGTAAAGGCTTCCAGATGAATTGCTAGGAGCTACATGCCCTGCCCATCTTAACCTCCGTGCTTTCATATCATGGGATTCTGATTGACCAGTTTCTGTAAGCAGTTCTTTATTGGTCTTTCTTCTCCAAGTGTTAGTACTCTGATCCCAGATTGCTCTGGTTGCTGTGCTGAGGATTTTCCTCTCAAATCTTTCTACACTTTTTTTTAGGGAGCTGGTTAGTGTCCAGGTCCCACACACAGCATTGTACACCCTTAGTTTGAAATTTCTTGAGATTTTCCAGGATTTCGATACCTTTGAGAGGACGAAGAAAGCTCTGTTTGTGCTAGTATATGCTGGTCTATTTCTGCCCATTGGTCATTCATTGAGGTTATTGTGGAGCCGAGGTATTTGAATTTTTCTGTATATATTCTGTATGTATATATATACACATACATATATATTGTAATGTAAATATTAAATAGTGAATTTAATGGGTGAATTTAATATAATATAAATAGCGGCGCGAAAGCAGTAACATCACGAACTACTGTTGAGGCGGAGAAAGACATATGGAAGGGGAAGCAAGCGCCATATGTTAAGGACAGAAGGTAACCAGCCGGTGAGGAAAGAGGGTCGACACTAGCACAGAGTGACAGGTCGGCAAGTAGTGAGTGTCTACACGAGTACAGGAAAATAAAAGATTAAGAGAAGAAATCTGTAGAAGTTGAATACAGCAATACCTTTTAAAAAATTGGAGGAAGATTCACTGCAGAACAGGATGAGTGCAAAATAAATAGTGACAATTAGAAAGTGCGCCAAGAGTAGACCCCGACAAAATTGAATGGAAATCCATAAATGTTGTATATAAATTTAATGTATGCTTTTATATTATATAACTGAGGAATGTGTGCTTAATTTTTTCAACCCAACCTGAGAAATAAGTTGTAGTCTTTAAAATAATTATTGTGTGAAATAAATATAATTTGGTTCAGAAACTGTTTGTTTACTTTTCAATTGAAACGTAACCTAACAATATATATATATATTTATTTGTACTTTGTATTATTATTTTTGTTCCATTTAATTTATTTTTATTTGTATAAAATGTAATATTATTCAATAAAAAAATAAAATTAAAGATTAATAATAGTGGTTGGTAGAGAAGCGATAAAGTTATGCATATCATCACATTGGTTTACATAAAAAAGTTTGGAAAATTATATTACGTAAACAAAATATCTTTAATTACCAATGCAACATTTTCTGTTTGATGGAAATGGCTATGTAATTTTTTTGTACAGGGATTTAAAACTAATTCCTAGGGTTATAGAAGTGTAATCATTGCCTTGGCAAACGAAGAGTACTGTTACTAGTTGTTACATTTTAAATATAATTTCCTTTTTTTTTTCCTCAGTGGTTATTTTGAGAAGGGAAATTTCCCCTCATGTGTTCCAGCTACTTCCTCTGCTTAAGTTTTCCTCTTCTATTAAATATATTCCCTTCTTTAAAATATAAGCTGGATCTTCAGTTACACCTTATCAATTTTAGGAATCAATTCACGGCCAAATAAAAACAATTATTCTAGATTCATTCCTGTTACTAACAGTAATTAATTATATATTATTATGAACTCGACATTGAATAAATATAATTTATTCAGTTAATATGGAATTTGGAATAGAACAACAAAATAAGCACATTATACTTATGTAAACTTTAAATATGTTCAAATATTTGTTCATGAAGTTCAGGAGTTCATATATTGTTGAAAAGTATGTACAGTAGAAACTGTAGGATAGAGGTCTTTAGTTCTAGTACACTATAATATCTAACAAAATGAAAAAAACAAAAACAAATATATTAACAATACATACCGCTATTTCTAGACAATTTATTGCTTTAGCATCATCAGGAAATTTGACAAAACTACCAACTGTATTGTTATCGCTTGAGACTCTTGCTTGAATTAAAAACCCAGCAAAATTATCTCTGTTAGTGCTGTGAAGTTTTACTTTACATAGCCCATTTTCTACGTTTATTGGATTAGCATCTAGTAAGAATGAAGATGAAGTAGTCTGTGGAGCAATATCTATATGGTGAGGTATCATAGTTGAACATTTTGAAACAGGAGCACCAGATTTGAATGAGTCTGTAAGGAGGAAATTCGTGACCAGTAGAATTGGCACCAGCCATATTTGCATTCCTAAAACAGAGAATAAGAAAATAGAATACATTTACTTGTTTTTGAACCTATAGTTTAGAACTTATTTAATAATAAACAATATACATTTTAAATTGCCAGTTTATAAACATATTTTTCATCAGGTTATTAATAAATTTATAAGCAATCAACTAAATTATTCATTTCAATTAGCATTGAATAATTTCAAACAATCTCTTTACTGATTACTAATAGAGAAAGGAAGTTACTTCAAGATGAAGGATTTTTGGTACTTAAACTTGGAAAAGGGAGGAAGACTTGTTACCAAAAATATTGATGATAAAAGTACCTCAGCTCAGAGGAGACGGCTAGGGTTTAATTATTGTTGTTTTCACATGGGGTCAGTAAAAACTAAAATGTAAAAAAAAAAAAAGAAGTAAATTCATAGAAAAATAACATTTTTAGACTTGTTTTATGGTATTAGATTGGTAAGAAGCTTTAATTGCCCACTGATCTGTTTGATAATTTACGAACATCGGATTTTGTAAAAAAATCTTGTTTACGCAGTGAATAAGTATAAACTCAATGTTTGTTTTCAATTGTCAGTTGTGTAAATGGATCAATAGAACCTCAGTTTTCTTTCTACTGTTATTGTTACTATTACAGAGAGAGTATATTGTTTCGTTTTTTATACTTTATTGCTTTGTGTGAATTAGTCTTTTTTATTTAAATAATGTCATGTGGAACTGAAATCACTGAAATTGAGCAGCAAAGGATGGACCTAAGAAAATGTGAGATGACCCAGAGGGAAATTAAACCGCTCCCAGGGAGTAATCAAATACTTTTTGAATTGCGACCCAGACAATTATTTAAAAAAGAAAAGAAGTGGAAGACCTCTAAAATTTTCCAATCACGTGAAACGGGCATTTTTGAGGGAAATACACAGATTATCAGGTGATTTAATTAAGGATGTGATGCTAGTTTGGTAAGAAAGTGGATAGCTGAATCTGAGTTCTTAAAATAATGTAAGATTATGAGAAAACCACAGCTCAAAAAACATCATTTTCAGTGACGACTGCAGTTTGCAGAAAGACCTTCAAGATAGCACAAAATAGTCAAGTGTTATTTTCAGTGATGAAAAATAAATTAATATAAATGGTTCAGATGGTTTTGATTACTACGGGCATGACCTTTGAAAAGAAAAAAATAATTGTCAAGAAGGCTGCATTGGCGTGGCGGGGTAATGGTATCGGCTGCTTTTAATGAAAAAATAAAGTCTCAAATTGCATGTCAATGTCTCAAATTGCTCAAATGTTCTAGAAGTGTTCCTTTTGCCGTTTATTACCATGTTGGAAGAAGAAGAAGAAACAAATTTTCAGGAGGTTAACGTGCAACTATTCATACAGCAACCTATTCATTCAGCAGATCTATAAAAAAATGGCTTCAGAATTTCTGGTTAAATCTTTTGGATTGGCCAGCTTTTAGTCTGGATTCCAATACAACTGAAAATTTGTGGGGAATCATTGTTAGAGAATTCTACAACCTTGGGAAGCTTAAAATACAAAATATTGATGAGCACAAAGAAATGATCACATATGTTTAGGAAAACATACCAGAATGCACTACAATTAATTTAGTAACAAGTGTTCCCAAAAAGAATGTTGGAGATGATAAAAAAAAAACAAAAAAACAAGGCAGAAGTTCTCATTAATGAAATAAATTTACTCATTAAGGACAGAAAAGTTTTTAGTTTATACTGCTTCACAGATTTATTTTGTTGTATCTAATCCTGCCAATATTATCCTGCCAAAATTATTTATTAAAATTGTAACTAATCATTTGCAGTACACATTAAATAATATCTTTTGTTACTCAAATTCCAAAATAAATTTCTTAAACTAATTGAAATAGTTATTTTTTCCCTTGAGTTTATATTTATTCACAGGACTTTAAGCTAAATACTTAAACAATCACAATATATTCTATTTTTTGAATTATAGTACATATTAGCTTCTAAATATAACTATGTTTTATGAAAAAATATTATCTATAAAAGTATTATTGTTGTGGAGAAATACAGGTCAAGAATACATTAGAACAGTTATATTTACAGTGCATACAGTTAAAACATTGTATTTATAATTTTTTTTCCTTTTTTTTTCTCTTATGATATGCAGTATTATCATCAAGAGATGTCCAGTAAGGCTCCTACTAAGAGGTGCAGTGAGGCTCCTCATGGTTCACCAGCGTAGCAAAGAATTTGTCGCAGTCTAATGGAAAATCTTCCAGTGACCACACCTGTAGAATCTGAACCTTAGCCTCAACACAAGAAATAGTCGAAGAATCCCCTTTCTTTACTCCAAACCCATAGTAAATGCTTTAAAATTACAGAGAGGTAATGGAGTCTGCAGAAACATCCAGAGAAGCAAGGCCTCCTCCGAAATTTGTGAAAAATATAAAGAATTTTTTGTTAATTGAACACATAAAATCTAAATGAAATCAGCTCTGGCAGTTACTCATGTATCAACAGGACCAATGACACTAAAATAATACCAGATACTGCTGAAACCAATAAAAAAATAGTGAAATATTTATCAGTAACGAACACAAATTTTAACACGTACCAGCCAAAGCAGGAAAGGGCATCACGAGTAGTGATAAAAATTTGCAATCCTCAACCCCACCTGAAGTGATAAGGGAGGAACTAATGAACCTTGGTTTCAAAGTACGCCAGGAAACTAACGTTTTGAAGGAGAATAAGGATCAGGGAGGGGTGAGAAACAAAGTCCCACTACCTTTGTTTTTTGAAAACCTGGAGCCATCACCAGGTATCGAAAAAATATATGATATCACTAGAATATTCTACACAAGCATGAAAGTAGAGAAGCCGTAACCCAAGAGAGAATTGTCCAAGTAGTTGGGCAGTGCCATAGTTGTCATGAGTATGGCCAAACAAAGACTTATTGCCCCCACTTGCTGCATTGTGTGAAATGCTGTTAACAACACAAATCTAGAGTGCACCAAAATGATTCAAGTTCCAGCAGTTTGTGCCCTATGCCTGGAGGAATGTCAACTATAAGGTTGCTAAATCTACAAGAACCTCAAAACCAGATACCAGAAGACCCGGATTCAATATGGGACAACCAGACCAAGAAGAGTACCAGCTAGAATAGTGAAATCTAATGTTTCATTTTCCTACCTACTTGGAGGTAAGAACCAAACCAATACACGAGAAGCACTGCCGCAACAACCTCAATCCCATCCTTAATATCCTATCCATCCTATTATGCCTTACTATCAACAATCTAATCAAATTCCTCATATTTTTTCTCCTTCAAATGCCACAGATCTCTTCAGTTCCAGACATTCTTTCTCACTGACTTCAAATCCCTTGTTATCCCACTGATCATATCACTCCTTACAAATCTCTTATCTCTCCTCATCCCTCTTTTAAAAAATTCTTAAATGACTTCCAGAAAATCCTTATCCATTCTCCTTTGGAATGCGAATGGTGTTAGAAATCATTTAATGAATGTAAACTAACAGATTTACTACTGGACAAGAACATCAACGTAACATTAATTATGGAAACTCGACTGACCAGAAAACAGCTTTTAAAAATACCACAGTACATAACATACCGTATTGACCATCCTGACAGTAGAAAACAAGCAGGCTGGCACTGCTGTCATTCGACACCAATCCATCTCTCATCACCTATTCCTGTGTATCACTAATCTCTTGTATCACACAACCCATGAACTACTCAAGATTTCCTACAATCCATCACCAATGTAATCAAAACCTTCTCTTTTCCCATCACCCTAGCATTAGCATATTGCCCTCTGTTGGAAACAGTAGGAATAATCTAGGAGGCTGCAACGAGATGCTACATAAATCACATATGTTATAATTAAAACATATGATATCATTGAACAAAAGATTTATTATGGCCACATAGTCTGCTCTTCTCAACTCCTACTCTCACCTTCCCACGGTGAGCCCCGTTAAGTCTAGCAACTTGGGTCCAAGTTAGTGGTAACCAATCCCTGCGGAGGACCTGGGTAGGTGACCAACGAGAGAGGGGATCTTGACAGGGCAGCCTGGGGGTAACCTGGGTCCCGGCCTATCAGGATGGGGGGGATGTTGGCAGTAGGGCATCTTCTGTCAAATAAAGGAAGTGCCTCCAGGGAAACCTGTACTGTGTGACTGAGGACATACTGCGAGGGTGGACGTGACTCTACAGTCGTAGTGAAGATAGCCGTCAATGGGAAGAGGGCCTATACAGAAAATCCTACTGGTTCTCCAGGTTGGGGGTTGGGCATCGGGCTAACGACCCGGTCTCGGAAAAAATGATATTGTTACGAATAATCAACAGAAACATAGCCGGACTGATCTATTGGTACGACCCAAGCGTGGACTAGGAAAATCCTTAACTTTAGCGACATGGAATGTGAGGAGTCTCTTCCAGGTTGGAGAGGCCTGTTTCATCAACAGGCGAATACATACTTCTTACATCACATACTTCTTATTTATTGTTTCTGTATATACTTTTTCTTCTATTTTTAATTATTGTAAGTTGTAGCGCCCTTACTCAGCCTCCGCTGGCTTTTAATACCAGTGAAGTGGTTGAGGAAGAAGTGCTGAAATCTCCTGAAGCCTCGCTTTTCCTTCCTCAAGTGGGGGGAGAAGTCTGCTTCGGAGTTCCCCTGATTTTAAATAGTGTAAATAGGTATACTGATTCCAAGATGTTCATTTTTATTACTTTTTTTTTTTTAGAACATTTTAATTTTATTTTAGTTATTTATTTTAATTTTATTATTACTATCATTTATATTTTCTTCCTTCATTATGATATTTTATTTTGTTCTTATTTCGCTGTATATTATTTTGAAATTACCTTATTTATTTTTTGATTTTGTAAATATGGTCTATGAACTCTATTATTAATGTCCTTTATTGAGACATATTGTAATATTTATCAATAAACAAGTAATCCATTAAAAAAACTTATTGTAAATGCTTGTTTGTATTTTCTATTTGTTTCAGTAACTCTCCACAAAACACTGTTTTTTGAATTCCTTTTCATGTCTAGTTCACTAATCCCCTGTCGTGTTAACGCTCAATCTCTTCTTGTCCACTATTACGAATTACTGCAGTTTTTACTCAACATTTTTACCATATTATTACACCTAGATTTTTCCAAAGCATTTGACACAGTTGACCATAGCATCCTCCTTAATAAACTGCAAAATCATCCTATAACCAACAGTGTCCTGCATTGGTTTAAATCCTTCCTTTCTGACATATCC